CAGATTTAGAATGTCCACCTCTGATCTAGCAATTGCACTTCTGGGAATTTTTTTTTCTGGGAATTTTTCTTAATGGCACAATTAGAGAAATGTTCAAATATGCACATTGTTCAAGTATATTCATTGGCTTTTTAAAATTGAAGCATAATATACAAGTAGTAAAATAAACAAAATGTACACAGCTCACTGAATTTTTACAAAGTAAATGTTCCTGTGCATCTGCCATCGGGATGTAGAACATTACTGGCACCCCACAAGGCTATCTCCTGGCAGCCTCCAGTCACTTCCTCCTCAAAGGTTACTACTAGTCTCAGATGAGGTTCCCGGGGAAGCCGACTCCAATTACGGTGCAGCCGCAGGGACCAATTATTGTGGGAAGGAAGAAGGGAGAGTGGGAGAGAGGGAAGGAAAGAAAGACGATTGGACAGAGGTAGAAGTTGAGTTGGGTTGCCACGTCCACAGGCGCTCTAAAGCACGGAAGGCACTTCAGAGATACCCTAAATTTCAGGGAAGGCCTTCATGTCCTGCCCCAGGCTTGGGAATGTGATCTTGGGGCAGCTGAGGCATTTCCTAAGACCACTCCTGAAGACGGATCTTGATGGTGCTTTCCAGAACACCATATGAACATATCACGTAGTACGTGCCTTTCCTGTGTTCCCTCTTTCACCCAGCATAATGTGCGTCAGGTTGGACTGCGTTGTCCGTTCTATTTCGGTGTATCGGGTACATCTCCTCCTCCTGTAGCTGCATCCGCTGGTTTTTCAGGGTTTGGCCATTATGAATACTGTTGCTGTGGATATTCTCATACGTGTCTCTCATCGTATATTTATTTACAGGCATTTCTGTCGGGCATACACCTAGAAAAGGTCATAGAATAAACATATGTTCAGCTGTCTTAAATATTTTTCTGAAGTGTCTGTTCAGCTATGTGTTGAATAGTTTTCTAAAGTAGTTGTACAAATATCTGCTCCCACGGGTGACGTGAGAGATTTGTAGTTGTTCCAGATTCTCACTAATACATGTTATTCCGGTGGCTGTGGTGGCACGTCCATGTGGTTTTAATGCATTTTCCTGGTGACTAGTGAGGTTGGGCACCTTTTCATACACTTACTGGCCCCTTAAACACTCTCTTTTATAAAGGGTCTTGTGGGCATTCTTTCTTTTATTTTTTCTCATTAAACTTTTGTTTTAATGGGTCTCAAAATTCTGTGACAGATTTTCGGTCAAGTTGTTTCCATTAAAAAGTAGTGGTTTAAAAAATTAATAACTTAAAACTGCCAAACACACACAAAACAAATGGTCCACCAAAAAACACATTTTCCTTTCTCTCTGAAGGTTTTACGAGGCATTGTTACCAGTAACCAGTCTTTTACTGTGAAATTTAAGTGACCGATTGGCACAAATGGTTCCGAGACCTGCTTCCACCACTGGTCAAGACTGGGCGACAGGTGTCGGGTCACGTCCATGTAGCCTCTGAGTGCTCAGGGCACTTTGGTGACCTTATGGCTGCCCTGAGGCCATCACCGCTGTGATGCCACCACAGCCTGGTCTGTCCCCTGTCCCGAGCGGCAAACGCCAGCGGGGGATCATCAGACTCTCAACATGCGTGGGCTTGGCAGCCCATGTCCACGGTGGCGGCATCCGCAGATTCAGGAACTCAGCAGCCCATTGTCTCCTTGGGCTCAGCAAACCTGCAAGCCGGGGAGTGGGCGCCCCCCCGAGGTGAGCCCGGGTCGCCCAGCAGTCGCCAGCCTGCGGCAGCTGCTCCCACAGAGAACACCTGTGCCCTCTGCAGCCCCATCGCCACCGCCAGCATCCTGAGCATCCTGAGCATCCTCCACACACCTGCTCTGGCCGCCGCTGCAGCGTCCACAGGAGGGGCCGCCCTGCGACAGGCTTCACTTCGGGGTAACGGTGGCCGGGGACGGGGGGGCCCGCTCCAGGGACCTGCATAGCCAACAGCCTGGGGGCCGGAGCCCGGGGCACTTCCCACGCAGAGGCACCTGCCTGCCTGTGTCCTGGAGTGCCAGGGGCACATACACCTGCCACAGCCCCATCTCGTCCGTCCTCAGGCTGCGTGATGGTGACCTCGGTCTACCAGCGCTCCCACCCCAGGGGCTGACAGTGCGTGGTTGGGTTCCCCAAATGTTCCAGTTCCTAGGAAGCCTGCGGAAGGGGACCCCTGGCCAGGAAAGGCCACGCAGAGGGAGGAGCACCCTGCGGCCGGGGCTCCGTGTTGGGGAGCAGCCTGGAGGTGACAGGTCAGCCCTGCAGGGACCTGGCTGCGCGTGGCCTTGGCCTACCTGTGGGCCCACCTGCTGGAAGCACCTGTTGGCAGCACCTACCCGAGAGGGCACAGCGTGGGGCGCTCCCCAGCAGGGGACACATGAGGACAAAACGCGCTGTTTCCCTTGTCATCCCAGTGTTTGGATGACTAACAGCACCCTTCAAGGGGCCCCTGGGTGGCCCAGCGGTTGGGCATGTGCCTCCGGCCCGGGGCGTGACCCCAGAGTCCTGGTATCAAGTCCGCATCGGGCTCCCCGCAGGGAGCTGCTTCTCTCTCTGCCTGGGTCTCTGCTTCTCTTCATGTCTCTCGTGAATAAATACATGAAATCTTTAAAAATATCTAAGGAATAAGCAACAAGGAGGCCCTCCAGCTGTCTGTTGGGGTGGCCCTCGTGCAGCGGGGGGCCGCGCTGGGCCTGACCAGCACCCAGTGCAAGGTTACAGGTGCAGGGCCCGCCTGTAACTTAGGGCACTTGCTGCCGCCCACGACGTGGGGGCCTCTGCTCAAACAGCGGTGGGAAGTGCTGCAGTATTTAGGTGCTTAATGGCCCTGAAGTAAGACATTATTCCTTTCCTCCACCGTCTCTCTCTCAACCTGTCCTGATGCTACTTGCTGTTTACTGTCATTCCAGATAAAGGAGATTTTAAAATTTAACTCATTAGCATGAATTGTATTCATCTTTATATTGGGTGATGCCGGTTCTAAATGCAGATATAAGAGCATTTAACTCACGTCTGGAGTCGCCCAAGTGACACAATCCACCGCTCGTGCAGGAATATGCATGTTTTCTTACCAGAACAGGGGAAAGAGTCCACAGAACTGACTCTGCTGTTTTTATTTCTTGCCCTGAGACTCACACGTCCTGCTGGGACGGCCTAGGACGGGAAGGAGCTGTGGGTGACCGAGCTTCCCATTGCTTCTCTGCCTTGATCTTCAGCCGATGTGACTTGCTAATTCAGAAAAATAACGCGGGTAAGAGAGGGTGGGATAGGGCCACTGGGTTGTCCACCCCTGTTTCTCGGAACGCCAGCGCCCTCCTTCTGCACTGGAAGCAAGGTCTGGCTCTTGGGGGCTGTCAGTGCCCCCCTCAGTCATGAATGTACTTACTGGTTGGCACTGGGAGCCTCACCCAACGGCCAGCATCATGGGCCCCGGGAGCCCCGTGCCCCGGCTCGGCGAGCATCAGGTGAATGGAACGGCTGTGCTCCACTGGCCTGTGACCTCACGTACAAGTTCCAAGATAATTTTTTTTTTTTTTGTAAGAAGAAGATTTGATTTGATTTCCTCCAAATTTTTATTTAAATCCCCGTTAGTTAACATGCAGTGGAACACTGGTTTCTCTCCCTTCCTCCCTCCCTCCCTCCTTCCTCGTAAAGAAAGCAGGCCCCGAATCCTGCACCAGCGTGGCTCCTGCAGAATCAGGAGCATTGGAAGTACAGCCTGGAAAAGAAAATCGTGGTAAGAGTGTAGGCATTTTGTTACAGAGCCAGAATTTTGGGTGGTCTGATTACCAGATAGAAATAGTGAATAAAACCTTTTAAGAGCTGTGGGTGCTCGAGGCAGCTACCTCCCTGGGATCAGTTTCCAACTTTGACCTTCCCCCAACCAGGGCTGCCTGGGCTCCTTGCCATTCCAAGGGCACGTTCACAGTTGCTAGGTTTGCTTTACCAGCCTCTGCCCCGCAGATGCGATCATGAGAGTTGTTACCAAGGGAGAGCAAAGGCAACGAATGACTATTTCTACTCTCTTTGCTCTTAGAGAATGAAAACAAAACTGGGGACAAGAGCGCGGCTGGAACCTTTTGCTTTTGCTTTTTTTCCTCCTTTGGGGAAAAGGGCAAATGTGTATCTCTGTTTGACCTTCTCTGCTGTGGAAAGGGCAGTGTGGTTTGCGTGCAGCCGTGTAAGGCTGCTTGCAGCGACACACTGGGGCCGGGGAGGCAGGACAGGAGCCCATGGTGCGTCTGGGCACCGGCTGCACAGGGGACACCTTGACGCAAGCCCAGCTGCACGCTGCGCGCTCAACAGGCGGGAGCAGGGTGTAGTGCACTAGAGGGCGCAGGGGGCTCGGCTCAGTCCCGAATCCCAGGTGTTTATCACAGATCTTGGGACACGAATAAGTGCTAATGTTTATTCTGTACTTTCATCCTGTGCTTGTACTGGCAGGAAGTCTCCTTTCTTCACCACTTTGACAAATGTCTATATTTATGGCACTTTTAATTCTTTAGACGATGAAGTAAACAAGTACAGCACAAGGAGACAGTGAGTGGGGCTAAGGGTCGGGCAATCGGGCCATAGGGGTCATGAGACGGTGGTGGTGAGGGCGAGGGAATGTGATCAGAGATCAGACCAAGGCCGAAGGCTGGCCAGCTTCGTCGGGCCGAGTGGCAGAGGTTGCTGGTTGTTCTCCAAGGCCTGTTTCCTACCTTCGAGGATGACCTGGTTTTTGGCCTGGCTAGTGGCTGCTGGCTGCGTGGCTGCCTACATTTCCAGCTTCCTATAAATAAGCATAGTCACATGACTCGGTTCTGGTCAATGAGCTGTAAAATCACCCACTCTTTCCTTCCTGTCTTTCCCTCTATCTTGCTGCCTAAAATGCAGATACTGTTGCCTTAGCCTGGAGAACAAGGGCCAGAGTCCCTGAGGATGTTTTATGGAACCACCTTTTTTTTTTTTTTTGGAACCACCTTTATCTTATTTATTAAAAATATTTTATTTATTTACTCAGAGAGAGAGAGAGAGAGAGAGAAAGGGGCAGAGGAAGAAGCAGGCTCCATGCAGGGAGCCCGATGTGGGACTCGATCCCGGGACCCCGGGGTCACGGCCTGGGCGGAAGGCGGCGCTAAACCGCTGAGCCACCCGGGCTGCCCCCTTTATCTTATTTAAGCCATTGTTATTTTGACATTTTGCTACTCACAGTTAAAGCTAATACTAAGTGACCTGAAGTACTGCTGCAGGCGTGCAGGGGCTCGACGTCTTCAGACAGAGGGCCGTCTTACAGATTTTACATGTGGGTGCACAGGTCTGTGTATTTATACTCTCATCATTATAGCGGGAAGCCCTGTACAGAGCACACATCTGCTGGCACTTCAAAATTTCATGCAGGGAACCTAAAACTAAGGGGTCAGAAGCCAGGGCAGAAAACTGGCCACATATAAAGTGCATTAAAAGCCAGTGACCTGGGGCACGTTGGCGGCTCAGTCGGTTGAGCGTCTGCCTTCCGCTCGGGTCCTGACTCCAGGGTCCTGGGATCGAGCCCCGTGTTGGACTCCCCGCTCAGTGGGGAGCCTGCGTCTCCCTCTGCCCCTATGCTGCTCATGCTCTGTCTCTGTCTCCCTCAAATACATAAATTAAAAAATGGCAGTGATCTTTAGGACTCTACTCGGTGTGGGAGCCAATCCTTAAGAGCAGTTGGGCTGAGTTGGGGTGATGATAGGAGCCAGCAATTGGCTTGTAGAGAGTAACAGGTGAAAGGAATTGTAGAAAGTGTTTTTAAAAGAATATCTTGAAAAATAATTAATGAATTTAACTTTTTAATGTAAGCAAAATATCTACTTAGGAAAAGACAGTGTCACACCGTGCCATCTAGGGATACACACACTTGCTCATTATTTTGTTTTAAGGTTTTATTTATTTATTCATGATAGACATAGAGAGAGAGAGAGGCAGAGACACAGGCGGAGGGAGAAGCAGGCTCCATGCAGGGAGCCCGACGCAGGACTCGATCCTGGGACTCCAGGATCGCGCCCTGGACCAAAGGCAGGAGCTAAACCGCTGAGCCACCCGGGGATCCCCTTGCTCGTTATTCTGAATAAAAGATACAAGTCTGCCTGTGTCTCTGCGCCTCTCTCTCTCTCTCTCTCTGTGACTATCATAAGTAAATAAAAATAATAAAATAAAAAAAATTGTTAAAAGATACAAGTAAATGTGTAACACGCACTCGGAGTGTAACGATCGGCATGTTACCTGCTAACACGACATTGTGTCATTATACTACGGCAAAGGAGCAAGCTCCCCAGAGACTGCCCTTAGCGCTGGGCGGGGGGCTGTCTCCGTACCACCCTCCATCCAAGTGACCTGGCACATTAGTCTGTTTCCAGTAACAAACTGAATTGCTGACAAAAAAAACCCAAAAAAACAAAAGTGAGGTCTCTCTTTCAATTTATTTTGTGACTTTTATGTTTTTCTTTCCTGATAATTGTTAGGTTGACTGCATTGTATGTGAATAATAAAAGGATTCGTAGCTATGTGTTACTGAGCATCTATCTACATGTTAGAGATGTACATAATTCTTGCATTTGCTTCTTAGAATATTCCTGAGAGACGGCATAAATCATTTTACCAGATGAAGAAACTGGGAATCAAAGAGGTTACGTGGCTTAGTATCCAATCTAAGATCACATTGTAAGTAGCAGTGAACCAGGTCCACTTACTCTAAAACCCACGTTCTTCCCCTTGTACCAATGGTCACTCTTTCTTTGGTAGCAAGGTATGTCATGTTTTATTTGTGGTTCACTTTGGCCTGTTGAAACCCAGTGGTGGACAAGAATTTTCCCCTAGAGATGTTTTATTTATTTATTTATTTATTTATTTATTTATTTATTTACTTACTTATTATTTTATTTATTTATTTATTCATGAGAGACACAGAGACAGAGAGAGGCAGAGACACAGGCAGAGGGAGAAGCAGGCTCCATGCAGGGAGCCCAAAGTGGGACTCAATCCCAGGTGTCCAGATCAGGCCCTGGGCTGAAGGTGGCGCTAAACCGCTGAGCCACCAGGGCTGCCCTAGACATGTTATTTTTAATGGAATTCAAATCAGTTATTGAAGATACAGTAGCATATGATTGCATGAAAGAAGGGATAAATCAGTAGTTACAATATAGATGTGAGAAATAAAACAATAAAATGTAAATGAGTAACTTACAGATAGGACCTTGAAAATAAAACCATCATTATTAAATATTTACTAATTGCTTTTAATAGTGACGTAAATGCCTTACTGAACTATCATTTTGTTATAATATTCCCTAAGTTGCAAGTTAAGGTATTTTGTTCTCAAATTTAAAAGTATTGTCCCATTGGAAAAATTGTATTATAGGGATGCCTGGGCGCCTCAGCGGTTGAAAGTCTGCCTTCAGCTCAGGTTGTGACCCCAGGGTCCGGGATCGAGTCCCACATCGGGCTCCCCGCAAGAAGCCTGCTTCTCCCTCTGCCTGTGTTTCTTGTGAATAAATAAAATCTTTTTTAAAAAATTGTATTATAGAGAGGTCTATTACAAATTGTGAATATTTTACCTTTTTTTCATAAAACCAGATATGTATTTCCATGGATAACACATCTCAATTCAGAATAGACACATTTCACAGGCTCAATAGCCACCCGAGGCTAGCAGATATCATTTGGGAATTGTAAGCCTAGATTACCTATAGAGTATGATTCTCAAAATAATCTGGATAATGAAATTATAATCTATTAGAATTTATTTTTGAAAAACAACTTCTCACATGTAGGACCTTGCTTGTGATAGATTAGTATGATAAATTGATAGAAATATTTATCCTGGGGGAGAAATAACATCAAAGCTACCAATTTCTCACTGTAATGGAACTCTTCTTGGATCCCAAGGTTAATAATACATTACCTCTCTCTGGCTTGTCATTATTTTGCCTACTTCTCTGCTCTAGGACTTGGTATATCAGTCTAACTGCATGATGAGCTTGCCCCTGCAGCAAGCTGTCCTAACACACCAAAGGCTCCACGGGCATAGCTGGGCTCATTGGAAGGGCTGAGGTTGGTAGGCCAGCCTGGCATGGAACTCTGTGCTCGCTGAGATACTTGGCTCGAGGCAGACGCATCTACACAGCACTGAATCTCCAGTACTGATCCCCAAACCCAGTTGAAAGGGCTTAGCTTTCACCGTAGAGAGAGGTGGCCAGGTTCCCTCAGATTCCAGCTGCTGGGAGCTCTCTCAGTCCAGCCCCACTATTGAAACGATGCTATAGTGGAGGAAAAGCAACTTGGCTTCCCAGAGATTGCTCTCACCGCTGTGCAGCGGAAGCTTTTTACCACCCTCCATCCAGGGCTGGCAGATTGAGCTCTCCCCCGTCTCCTGTAAAATATGCTGGCTCATTCATCAGACACCGACCCTCATGGCCAACGGGCTACTCTGGCACATCCCCTCTATCACTACCTCCACCCCCTCTGTCCCATCCCTGTCAGGGGAGTTGTATGTTTGCCAAGTCTTGTGGACTCCTTTCCAAAACTATATATTCTGAGCATACTTGAAATAGATTAGTTACACATAAAATGATGGAATATGATTTTGAAAACAAAGAATTAAAGGCTTTGGAAAGGGTTCCTAAAGAGGAGTCTTTTCTTTTTTGAAGACTTTATTTTTTTCAAATCATCTCTAGACCTGGCGTGGGGCTCAAACTTACAACCCAAAGATCAAGAGTCACATCCCCCACCGACCAAGCCAGCCAGGTGTCCTCATAAAGGTGAGTCTTAAAAAAATAGTGTGAGACAATCGTTAAAAAATAGAGGGAAAGGTTTAAAATTCAGAATATGTCCTCAGATTGCTTTGCAAGTATTTTTAAGTTTTTTTCTTCTAAAGAAATCAGTAAGGTCATTCTCCCATGGGTGTAGTTTGTGCAAGACAAAGTGCAGGCCTGTCCTCAGACACATGCTTAAGGAAGTGCCTCAGCTTTCCTGCAGGCTGGCGAGGAGTGTGTATGGCAGATGTTACCAGAATGGACATGACTTCCTATCTTAGCTTTTCTTCTCTCATACATTGATAAACTGCTTGTTTGGATCACATTGAAGAGGACTGTTTTCACTGCATTTTATTGATAATTTACATGCTCTGAAAATGTTCATGTGGACAATGCTTTTTCTTAAACCATATTCTTTTTATTTTTAAAGATTTTATTTATTTATTCATGAGAAACAGAGAGAGGCAGAGACCCAGGCAGAGGGAGAAGCAGGCTCCCTGCGGGGACCCCAATGGGGACTCGACCCAGGGCCCCGGGATCACGCCCTGAGCCCAAGGCAGACGCTCCACCACTGAGCCCCCTGGCCTCCCTCTTAAACCATATTCTAGTTCTCTCCGTTCTGGCACATATCAGAGAGCAGGACCCGTTTCTGGGCTTTTGTTTTTAATGTGATGTGTGAAGAATGAATTCAGTTTTCTTTAAATCCACCTTTAAGACAACGTAAGTGGTAAGAATATGGAGCTCGGGCGCCAGCAGCCAATCACCAAGCACAGTGGTGGTTTTAAGCGTAGTTGGTTCGACTGTCCTTACAGCCCCCTGGGAGACGCTGCTGAAGTGCCCCTTGCCCCCAGAGGGCCGGGCAGAGCGACCCCAGGGCTGAGGTTTGGACCCCTCCCGGCAAAGCCCAGGCCTCACTGGGGCTGCTGAAGACAACAGAGAGACCCACGGCCCCACAGAGGACACTGGCCGCGGCACCCCGGCAGGGGTACGGGCCACCTGAGGCCGCGGGGCAGGGCTGGGCTCTTGAAGGGGCACCGCGGAGCAGGGACAGGTCCTTGGAAGGCCGCCACCGAGCAGGGCTGCGTCCTTGGAGGGGCATCACTGAGCAGGGCTGTGTTGGCTCGATGGCTCACGGAGGTCTCTGAGTAGCTGGCCCAAGGTCTCCGTGGAGGCCTCGGTGTGAGCAGCCGGGGCTGCGGGCCACGGGCCGAGTGCCAAGCCGGCCAGGGTGTAGCAGCCCGTGGGTGTCGCCTTGGGGTGGGGGGCGTGGCCCACTAGGTGCGGGGAGGGGAGCAGCCTGTTAGGTGTGGAGGTTGTGGCCCGTTAGGTGCGGGGGTCGTGGCCCGTTAGGTCCCAGGGGGGCCATGGCCCATTAGGTCCCAGGGGGGTCGCGGCCCATTAAGTCCCGGGGGTGGGTCGTGGCCTGTTAGGTCCCAGGGGGTTCATGGCCCATTAGGTCCCAGGGGGGTTGCGGCCCGTTAAGTCCCGGGGGGCGCATCGCGGCCCGTTAGGTCCCAGGGGGGGTCGCAGCCCGTTAAGTCCCAGGGGTGGGGGTTGCAGCCCGTTAGGTGTGGGGGTCACGGCCTGTTAAGTCCCGGGGGGTGTGGGTTGCGGCCCGTTAGGTGCGGGGGTCGCAGCCCGTTAGGTCCCAGGCGGGTTGTGGCCCATTAGGTGCAGGGGTTGCGGCCCATTTGGTCCCGGGGGTGGGTCGTGGCCCGTTAAGTCCCGGGAGGGGGAGGGTCGCGGCCTGCTAGGTCCCAAGGAGGTTGCGGCCCATTAGGTGCGGGGGTCACACCTGTTAGGTGGGGGGGTCGTGCCCGTTAGGTCCCAGGGGGGTTGCGGCCTGTTAGGTCCCAGGGTAATTGCGGCCCATTAGGTGTGGGGGTCGCGGCCCGTTAGGTGCGGGGGTCGTGCCCGTTAGGTTCCAGGGGGTCGTGGTCCGTTAGGTCCCTGCGGGGTTGCAGCCCGTTAGGTCCCAGGGTGTCGTGCCCCGTTAGGTCCCAGGCGGGGTCACGGCCCATTAGGTCCCAGGGGGGTCGCAGCCCGTTAGGTCCCAGGGGGGGTCGCGGCCCGTTAGGTCCCAGGGGGTCGCGGCCCGTTAGGTCCCAGGGGGTCGCGGCCCATTAGGTGGGGGTGCCCACGGCCGCGAGGCTGGGGATGAGCAGGCCGAGGAAGGCGTCCAGCCGCTCCCTGGAGCGGTAGGCCAGCAGCCCGCCCTTGTTGGCCCAGCGCTCGGCGCCCGCAGCGCCCCGGTTAGCTGCGTGGTAGCGCAGCTGCGGCGGCTCCAGGCCTGCGCCCAGCCCGGCCCGCAGGCAGCCCTGCAGGTCCGCCACGCCGCCGCCCATGGCCCGCAGGATGGCGTGCGCCGCGCAGCAGTCCCACTTGAAGGTGGTGTCCTCCGAGAAGATGTAGACGTCGGCCAGGCCCTGCACCACGCACAGGCCCTTGTAGCCCGCGCCGGCTGCAGGGAACACGCGCTCCCCGCACACGCGGCCCACGGCGGCCTTCACGGTGGCCGCCTCACTGGTGCTGATGACGGCTGAGAGCCCGCGCGGCTGCCCCGCCTCAGGGCCCGCGCCTCCCGCCGCCCGGGGCTCCCCGCTGCTCCCCACGGGCCCGGCGCGCTGCAGGGAGTGAACGTTGGTTCCCAGGTAGGAAAGGCCCCAGTAGCAGCGTCCTCGCCACCTGCGAGACAGAGCAGGACAGAGTGCACGCGTGTCCCCACGGCTCCCGACGGGCCCAGGGCCTGCGCCTGCACCTGTACCTTCAACTGCACCTGCACCCGGGCCGGCTGCCAGGACACGCACCACCTCGCTGGTCACAAGACAGGAACACAAACCACTCCCCTCCACCTGCAGGTCCCTTAGCAGCCTCACTGGGGTCTTCCTCAGCACCTTCCTCTTCCGAGCTCCACTTTGGCTTAAACACCCAGAAACGGGGACGCGGGATTTGTGGAGTGCTTACTGCTCACTTTTTTTTTTCTTTTTTTTTTTTTTTTTTAGATTTATCAATGAGAGAGGGAGAAAGGGGCAGAAGGAGAAGCAAGCACTCCCTGCAGGGAGCCTGATCCCAGGACCCCGGGGTCATGCCCTGGGCCGAAGGTAGACGCTCAACCACTGGGCCACCCAGGGGCCCCTTTTTTCTCAATGTTTAACTATTCTGTTAGGTCGGGTTGCAGATTCCTCTACTTACAGAGGCGGGGGTTGGGCCCTAGAGACCACAACCGAGAGCGTGTCACTCAGTGGTAGAATCCGCACATCAGCTCCAGAAGCCCCGCTCCCCAGTGACTACCCTGCCAATCATTTCTAGGCCATAATTATGTCTGCAGCGAGTCCCAATTCTTAATTTCTTAATAATTCTTTAAAGATAACAGGGGATACACTTTCAGTTTGCAAGAAGGCAGGGTAGAGAAAAAAGGGCAAAATTGCACAGGTGCAGTTTATGTTCCCTAAAGAACAAATCTTAGTTGCCTGAAGCAACTCAAAGTTCAAGAAGGTGTAGTCATTCACATGGAAAAATAGGGCCTATTTCGAAACTGAAACCACCAGAAAATAGCTGCTGGCTTCCACTTGGACCCTACCTTGCCCCGGAGTCAACCAAAGTGTGGGCCACGGAGCAGAGGCGATGGGCAGCCTTGCCACCTCCATGCCGACTGTGCGGTCCACGCCCGGGCAGGAGGGGGAGCACCCCACAGTCACCGTCTAATCTTTGCCAAACCTACTCATCTTTTCATTGGAAAATTTTCATATTTGTTTTGAATTTCTTCTAAAATTACATAAATGCGTGACTTGGCCACAATAGTGATAGCATCTACCTCATTCCAAAGGTAGTAAAAGACAGCGTTACCACCGTTCTATCAATCTGGTTTTGAATGACAGGGGACAGGAACGGGATCGCTGTATTTCAAATGCAAGACGACTACGTCTCCAAGATAGACTTCCCGTTACGAGTTACTGGCAGCATGCACCTAGCCCTCACTAAAATTATCTTTAATCTAAGACTGAAAATAGAATTTTAATTCACACCTGCAGACTTTAGTAGGAACTCCTCAGTGTATCAAGTTGTGGTGATGTCAAGTGATAATCTCAACAATAAGCAAAACTGAGGTTGTAAGTTCCCCCAAACCACAATATGCCAGAAATGTTCATCTTTTTACCTGAGGGTGTTTAGGTCTTGTGATACGAAAGGTTGGTTGATGACTCCCATTAGGGGTACCCCTGTGTGTAGGTCATAGACACCAATTAAAATGGTGACACACTGAAGCCCGCTGGGGAAGATTCCTTCGTTGGATTTAATATCAGTAGAACCTTTTATATACTGATAAGTGGAATCTGAAAAAAAATGAAGCATATTTGGTTGGACTCAGGCAATAATTATTTGAAAGGTAAAGACAAAATAAAATAATGAAAAAAATAAAATAATAAAATAATGACGGGTACAGCTATACACTCTGTCCTGTATAATTTGTCTTTTACTAATGTGGCAGCTGCTGTGGTTCTCATGTGTCCTCCCCAAATTCTAACCCCCAAAAGGGGGATGGTATTAGTAAGTCATAAGGGTGCAACCCTCATTAATGCAATTGGTGCCTTATAAAAGGGGATCCCGAGACAGCCCTAGTCCCTTGTGCCATGTAAGGACGCGGTGCCAGCTCTGAAGCCGGGAGCGAGCCTCCATCTTACCATGCCAGCACCTTGATCTTGGACTTTGCAGCCTTCAGAACCTTGAAAATAAGTTTCTGTTGTTTCTGAGCTACCCTCTCCATGGTATTTCGTTTAGCGGCCTGAACAGACTGCAGGAGCAATCAAGGTTTACCTCTGGGTGTCACTTGCATTGAATTGTTTTTGGATCTCTTGTACTTCCATTTTTAAGATGCCTGTGTTCCATTTTCCCCAACCCTACGGGAACTCTTGAAGGGAGAGGATGCGTTTATAGTTCCTGTGGCCCCTAGCATGGCACGTGGCATGTGATAAGCACTCAAATATCCATCACATGTCAAAAGCATTGAAAAGCTAATGACTCAGGATAACTGGTGGGATTCTTTAGAGCTCCTCTTACTCAGAAGACAAGTATAATATGGACGGATGGATGGGAAAATCTTCCAGAAGTCTCTCAGGGGTGGAATCACTTTTCTTTTTTTGGTCTCCCAAGCCAAGGAAGGAAAGAGACACAAAATGTGGCACAAAAAAAGAAGAAATTGATGGTGCTCCGGTGAAAAAGAAGCCGAGGTGCTAGGTTTCCCCGAGAGACATACAGGCAGCAGCTGCCGGCCAGCATCTAGTGGGTCGGCACCCTGTTACGGGGGGTGGGCGCACAGGACCCACAGAGCTGGCTTGCAGAATCCATTTAGGATAGAGCCAAGAAATGGGAGAGCCCTCTCCCTCAGAATCCTCAACTAATGCTAATCTGCCATCGAGTTACAAAAGATTTTGGGAAAGATGCTTAGTCTGCAGATGTAATCCACTGAATGAATGTCCTATAATTCCCTGGTTATTAGAGGCATTTTTATGACGTCATACCGGCTCGCGTGCAAGACGGAAGCTGGCGGGGCCGAGGGGCATCTGCCGAGGTGGCCCCACCTGGGCTGGCACAGCCTGCGCGGCAAGTGGGCATGAAGCAAAGGAGAGACGCAAGCCGGTACCCAGGGCCTTGCACTGACAGCCTCGCCGAATAGACCAGAAATGTGGGGCCAGAGGCTGCGGCGCTACAGCCCCGCGGACAAGAGAGTAGGAAGCTGTACGAGGCCGCAAGCTGCCAGGGAGTCACGATCGGTACTGATCCCCTTGTAGGCCCGGACGGAGGTTTGGCTCTTAATTGAATTAGTGGTCACTGCTTCAAAATCGGGGCGGTATCACATAAAAACCTGGATTTTATTTTCTCTTTAAAAACTGGAAGATCTGGACTGTGCTTCCATGTGGCAACAATCCGCTGGAGCGGAGTGTTCCTTAAATGGCATGTGTGCTCCCTTCGTCACACTAATCGCGCTCCTATCACTTCATGACTCCGTCCTGTTTACCAGTTTGGCCCTTGCAATCTTTCAAAGAAGACTTGATTCAGTTTGATATAGATGTACGTGTGTACACACCCACCAACAGATACACACCAACACACGTTATAGAGCTGTTGACACACAAATCCACAACACACCGTCACACATACACCTCCACTCTTCACCGCTCATCTTAGGGCCTTGAGATGTTAAAGACGTCTAGGAGAATTCAACTTCACTCTCGACTGTTATTTTCCCAAGCGTACCCACCCCACAGAGGGATTTCTAAAAAGAACAAATCAAAGCAAACACTCCCCTGTACTTACCAATGGGATCCACCCAGATTCCCAAAATGTCCTGAGGAATGTTGATCTCTACCGAATCAAGAGTTGGGTCTGTAAGGGTGACATCCTGATGAACGACCTTGGCTAGTGCTTCAGACGCCAGCTTGTTCCCATTAAGGACCTTGCTAAGAAGCTCTACTGTCTCTTCCTCCGTCGGACACAGCCTCAAGATAATCTTTTCCCCTAGAATAAAGACAAACTAAAAGCCATTATTACATCTCAAGAGTTTCAGGGGAGGAAACAGCAGCAGAAGGGTGAGGAGGAGCAAGAGCCGCCCCTTAGATTAGGGGAGGGCAGCGTGTCCATACTGTGGTTGCTAAGCACTGGGTGGCTTCACGAGGCCACAGCGGCCCAGGAGTCACTCATCTACCTCCTGTGACTTGAGGGATGGATTCCAAGTATCAAAGAAACATCTTCCCAAAAACCATCCACGTGGGCACACGTGCACAATTTTGTGCACAGCTTACGGGGGCTTGGGGGCCCCTGGACCCTGAGTCCTTGATAGTATTTATTTTTATCTTTTGCCTTTTAATATAACTCGGTCAGCCTGTTACAGTTTGGACGGAGGATCACAGAGCTGTGAGCAGCACACAGAAGGTGAGGACGCTTGTGCCCAGGAGGTAGGCCAGCAGCAGCCAGAACGCTCCCACGGGGCAAACTGTGGTGACAGGACACTTGGGCAAAGGCTCCCCTCAGGGAGGCGGCCGGGAGCAGATGCGAGCAGAGCCCCTGCTCCAGACGTGGCCACAGTGCCCCGGCACACGCTCCCCTGTAGCCCTGGACACGTGGCCCACGGGAGGACAGAGGCCGACGGACAGCGACCCAAGGGCCAGCAGGACAAGACACGGCATTCCGGGCCACAGGTGACTCGACAGGTGCCCCTGGGCCCCAGGCCACTGCGGGACCGCAGCACCCATGGGTCGGACACTTGGGACGCAGGCTCCTGCCCACAGCCAAGTTTCGGAGGCCTGGGTGCTGCGTGTGTCCCTTATGGCCTGGGAAGCACAGTAGGACCCCGAACGGGGATGACTCTGGGTCAGCAAGACCCACTTGGCTGTACTTAGTGAAGCGACACTCAAACTAGACCATGGAGTTGGGGCCCAACAACACCCCACACGGCCCTCACCCCAGCTCCTGCGCTGGGCTCGGGAGGTGTCCTGGGATCATCGAGGAGCAAACCCGGCTCGTTACTCCTGTGCTTACGATTCTCCAGTGAATTCCCACCAAACTACTTCTGCTCCTGCCTGCGCTCACCTCCCCATCCCAGGCTCCACATTTCTCTGGCCCAGGCCCGCTAAGTTCCTCCTCCTCCTCAGGTCTCAGGAAAGGTAAGTGGCAGCTCTTGTGGCCCCTAAAGCTCCAGGTAAATGAAATGTTAAAGTAACTATTTTTGACGTAGCCAAACACAGGATTTCATATTAATCACTTATTAGGTGGTTTTTAACCTTACGAAGTTTACAGGAGATTTCTCTGAGCATCCCAGAACTGACCCCATCTTAGTACGTAGCCCACGCAGGTGACACTCTTCCAGCGTTAATCCAGAACTTAGTTTTTCCTTTGTAACTGTGCCTCTGGATGTTTGACTATTGGCCACATGATCAATGATAAAGTTCACTATTTTAATCTTCTACCATTAAACAAACAAAACACCCAAACTAAAAATAATTTGTGTCTCTGTAAAGGATCAGAGATTTTGATTTTTTTTCTCTCTACCATCAGGGAACATGGAGGTACATCAATGGAGCATCTGGCCTGCAGGAAACTAATTAAAGAAGACTTAAAATTTGGTACTAAAAAGAAACTTTTATTTAATCCAACTCCTTTTACAGAGATTCTGAGACCAGAGAACTGATGAGGTGAACAAGTTTTCTTTGCTCAAGAGCACACAGTATTTCATAGATAGATAGGGCCACTCTAGATTCTCAGGCAAGGCCTCTGGGCTTCCCAGGAGGCTCATGAATGGGTTTAAAACTTGGACCTAAAATTGTCCATACCGCTGTGTAATGTGCATCTTTCTGAGAACATCTGTAACTTCTGCTAGATTCTCAAAGGGCCATGCAACTTCCCCAAAGGTCATCAAATATTATTTTAAATGCTATAGATTTATATCTAAAATAATACGCATAGACTTGCTAAATAATTCCAAGATACTAATAATTCCAAGTTAATTCTCCAACTTAAATGGCGTGATATTCTCAGGTACTGAATGAAGCTTAACATTCAAATGTTATTTACATGAAAGGCTCCCAAACCCTCATTTATTCCATGATGTTGTTGAAAATTAGAATACCATATGATGATTAAGTCATAAAAATACAGTAAAATTCATATACTTACCCAATTCGTTAGTAAACTCATTTGATTCTTCTCCCAAAATTTTTTTTCCCAAACCTGGAAACTGAATGATTCAGAGTATGACAAAGAAATCAAAAAACAAAACAAAGACAAAACAAAAACAGAACCCTCCCAATCCCACGTACATGTTTAATTCTTAACATATTTTTATTTTGTACTTCAAATTACATAGCACTAGATCTGAAATTCATCATTCCAGAAATCAATCCAAGTAGAAAAAGTGAAGTCAGCTTGATTCAGTACTTCACTTTCTAATATTTTCCTGCTCCTCTGCCCCCCCAGGAAGTCCAAATCATGGTAGGAGTCTGCAGTACTTTAGAAACTTCGTCCTTCCATTTAAGGGCCATAGAACTAGAATATTTGCAAAGGAGACATTTTACCCGTTGCTCATCAACAGCACCGTGCTAGCTTATGGAGTTAACAGTGCTGCCCAAGTACCCAAGACCATTACTAATTAGGACTAGAGGATAACACGAGAGTTTGCTTTCATCTTCAGGCGTTTGCTGCACCTGTTGGAGGTATCCTTGGACTTCAGGCAAGGAGAGAAAAAAAAAAAAAAAGGAACTATTTTCTTGAAGGATAATACATCACCATAGAATGAAAAAAAAAAAAAAAAAAAAACAACCCATGGAGCTAAGTAAGAATCTTTTCTCTCTCTGTAGGACCAGGAAGCATTCAGATACATTTTGCTTCTGATCCTTTCTGTAGTAAAGAGAATTTTTCTCAAACTATGTGCTGAATTATGATCTGCGTGATGTTCTCAGGCTGCAAAAGCAAGGAAATGCTTCAAATATTTGAATTCAGTCATTTGCAGATGGCCAATAATTTTAATAGTGCCCACCACATCTTGTTTTGTTTTTCCTCTTTTAAAGAACAGCGCAAGTCGACAGGGGCTGCCAATGAGCCCACTCATGCACGGCTGCAGCTTGGTCTCCCAACTGCTTAAAGACCCGTTTCTGAGGTTACAGGATGTAAGGGTCATGAAACAAAGGCATCTAGCAAAAAGTGAATGTCATTCCTTTGTTCATAAGTCCTGACATATATTTTATGAATGAACAAGTGCCTGTTACAATGCTCTGGGGCAAATATTAGCTAATGAAAGTTAATGTTGATATGTTTCTAATCCATATAATTGCTCAACCATCCCTTGTACCCAACTACTTGATCAGAAAAAAAAAAAAGAAAATAATTTATTGGAGCCAGATATTACAGGGCATGAAAAAGTAGAGTTTGTAGAGATCTCAAGGGGTCATTTACTCTCTCTTCCTGCCTATGGTCAAGAATATGCTTTAAATGATTCCAAATATTTTGAGAATTTCAATAGAAACTATTCTAAATTTTGTAGTGCTGTCATAAAGTTCTATCCTCCCAAATCTTAAAAAAATGTTTGATTATTAGATTATCATGCAAAAGCAAACATAGTATTGCAAAGAATGCAAACTCTGGAGCCAGTCAACCAGTGCTCAAAAGCCAGCCCTGCCACTCACTTGCTGTGTAATCTTGGGCAAATTACTTACCCTGTCTGTGCTTCTTTTTTCTGATCCGTTGGAATAATAGTTCTTATCTCATAAAATTATTATGATAGTTAAATAAATTAGTATATTTAGAGCCATTAGAAGTGCCTGACACACAGTAAGGACTTATAAGTGTCTGCTAGTGTTATTATTTATTATTACTACTTATGAATAGTTTCTTTTCCCAGCCAGCTTCAGATAGCTAGAATCATGATCATTGTTAGTTATAAGCAATGATTTTCTATGAGAATAAAAGGGGATTTTCAGGCTTCAGGCCTGTACAAGCCCGTAACTGATTAGATAACCATTTGATAAAAGATTATATCAAAAGGCAGGACAGGATATGTCGAATCAAAAAAAAAAAAAAAGTCAATAAAATAGTATGTTCTCATTGCTACTGAGATAAATTCTATGTGCCAGGCACACAAATACACATCGAAGCGAAAATGTTCTTTTTTTTTTTTTTTGAAGGAAAATGTTCTGACAATATTTAGTAAACCATAGCTGTGGTTCTCTCTAATGGTAGGATTAAGGATTCTTATTTTTGCTTATTTTCCAGAGAATGTGTATTATTTATTAAAAAGAAACTCATTAATAAATAAAAAGCTCCATATCCAAATATTTCTCTTTAGCTGTCAGAACTGTGATTTCTTTTTTGCCTTATATGCTTTTCTATTTTTTAATTTTTTTCTGCAATGAACATTTTAGTCATTTTATAGTCAAAACAGGAGGGGAAATCCCAAGTTGTTTATATTAGAGTCCTGGGTGCTAGTGTTCTGAGGTAGGGAAGGAAAAGAAAAAGGCAGGCTATGTATTGGGAAAAACCACAGGGTGAGGATTTTGTGATTACCTTGGCTGTGACCCTCCCTACCTTGTTCTCCATGTTCTGTTTTATGACTTCCTGTACGAGGACATCAGCCAGCGTCTTGAAATCAACAGCAAACTTCTTGTTCTTTTCTCCGTCTTTCTTTTCTTCTATCAGGAGCTGGAAGAGGGCCTCCTGCTGCCTGCAGGCCCGGGCGATGTTGGCAGCCTTCTCCGAGACGCGGAGCAGCTCCCGCAGGACGGCTGACATTTCGGAACCTGGCTCTGCAGCTCAGCCGCTGGCGGAATGGGGCCTGGCCTGGGCCGGCAGCTGGGAAGCCCAGGAACGTGGGAGAGAAAGCAGTTCAGGGCCGACGATGGGGTGTGCGGCCTACTACATCACCCGCCGGGGTCGGCGGGGTCAGCCAGGCTGGTGTGGCCCACGCACATCCCGGCGTGGAAGACCACATGGCATCTAAAATCTGAAACTTATTTTTTAAATTCTTCCAAAAAATACTGGAGTCTCAAAAATCCATTATGCAAAAAATTGAATGCTCAGTGAAAGAAAGCTTTGAACATCTACATTATTAATCCCTAGAGCGACAGGCAGGCAGATACAAAACCGCAGGGTTGGAAGGAAAGCCTAAGTCTTGTCGTGACCTTGGAGTGGTGGCTCAGGCTCAGTGGCCCTGGAAGTAGCGCTTTCTTTCACCATATTGGGGAACAGGAGAGCAGTGGAGGAGGATTTATCCTATCAGTTTGGGGGCAGCTTTCACAAGTACTGTAGCTACCTTTCCCCGGAAGCCTCACCAAGCCTGGTACATGGTGTCATCGTGAGAATTACCGGGAGGGCTGTCAGCCTCGTCTTATGGTCAAGGGACCTTGAAGCCTGGAGGGAGGAGGTAACTTCTTCAGGCTTACACAAGACTAAGCGGCAGGGCCCTGAGTCAGTCCTACACACACGCTCGGCCCTCTCTATGACCATAATCAACACTCACCTTCTTAAAAAAAGAAAACAAAAGTTCCTTAACAGAGTCTACAAGACCGAGGACCAATGCAACAAAGCTATCAGTGTCACGGGGTTAACTGGGAATGGTCATAGTTGCTTTGTCTTAGGTTTGCTCCCCCAAAAAGCTATTTTCTTAAGATTATGGGTCAAACACCATGAGAAACCATATCCACCTTCAACACCAGTAAAAGGAAAGTGAATAAAAATGAGACATCTTCCTTTACTATTAGGTAGACCAAGCTGTTGTAAGTTAGCATTCATTCTTGCAAGAATGGTGAGACAGGTATGGATACTCTGCTCTTAGGCACGCAGACAAGTGGGATTCCAGAAGGCGTCTGAGAAAAATGTATTGAGATCCCTAGAGATGTCACTACCTTTAACCAGTAATTCCATTTTGCCTTAATATGTCTTCAAAAAAACCAAAAAACAAAAAAACAAACAGAAAGAGTTGGGTTGGGTTAAAATAGTTCTGCAAAAGAAGGATTAATATTTACAATACCAAAAAGAAATAATGACACGTATATGGTATAAATTATAGATAATATACATAAGATGTACACATAAACATGTTGGGGTACACATGCCCCAGGAGTATAAATTCAGTAACTTAGACAAATTTGATTTCTTAGTAAATGTTCTAAGTGATTCTATTATAAGGGAAGAGAAAATAATCAGTGAACCAATAGTATCCTGAAAAGCAGCATGAAGATTTTTTTTTTTTTTTTAGCAGGAAGATTTTAAAGGGTCTAGTTTGAGAGCTTTCTGGATAAAGAATATCAGTATTCTCTATTTTCCTCAACTTTGTTAAAAGCAGTTTTGGTTTTGTTTTAAAGAAATACCACACCACTGCCCTGTTGCAGGACCAGGAAACTTTGCCTGCGATGCCCTCAGAACACTGAGGCGAGCTACTCACGCAGACTGCAAACCCCAGGAAACAGCACCAGCCCTTCCCTCACACAGGACGCTCACCAGCTTAGTGCCGAGGGGTTTCTGCGTCGCTGCCCCAGAGGTCTCGATCTCTCCCCTTTGAGCTTGACCTGTATTTCCTCAATAAGGACCATATTCTCCCACAACCTGGGCACAGCTACTTGACCAGTAGGAAAGAAGTATCAGCTACAAACTTCAGTCCTGAGGGTAACAGGTGTACAGATTTTAGGAATTCATCATAACCCAATTATCAGGCTTTTCAGTTCCAAAGTTATCCTGGAGTCCGACCTTAATCACTATTCTGACCCCGGGAAACACTAGCATATTTCGTCAGGCTCCAGGCTGAATGCCCAGGTTCAGCTTGGGACGAAGCTCTCTCCAGCCATCCTCGAGAGCCCAGCACTATTTGCCTTTCTTCAGGGTCCTAGCTCCCTAAAAAAAAAAAAAAAAAAAAAAAAAAAAAAAAACAAAAACAAAAAAAAAAAACCAAATCAAATCTCTCACAGCTCTCATGATCTACATGCAAAACGTTCTGATTGACCTGCGCAAGTAGGCTGCTACTTTCTGGCCGAATGGACCATTTCCTCCGTACAAGTGGAACCCCCATTCTCCCGGCTTCTCCAGAAACTACCTCCCTCCATCTGTGCTCCCCTCAGTTCATGAAGTCCACAACCCTGAGGGGTGTGCAGGTCAAGTCATCCTCACCCGGAACGACTCAACTCAAAGTACTCAACTTGCCTGTGGAGAACGTGAGGTCTATGTTCAATGGCAAGTTTCTTCAGATTTGTCAATGACTCTAACACTTGTAAAAATTATCTTTCAGATGATTTTTTTAAAAAAGATTTATTTTAGAGAGAGAGACAGAGAGACTCAAGCAGACTCTATGCGGACCACGGAGCCCAACATGGGGCTCAATCTCATGGTCCTGAGATCATGACCTGAGCCAAAAATCAAGACTTGGGTGCTTAACTGACTGAGCCACCCAGGTGCCCCACACTTACATGATTTTTTAAAAAGCAAATTTACATATTCATTTTTTGACCTAAGTTAGTTTTACTGAAACATTTCAAATACTTTATTTTTTTTTTTAAGATTTTACTTATTTATTCATGAGAGACAGAGAGAGAGAGAGGCGGAGACATAGGCAGAAGGAGAAGCAGGCCCCATGAAGGGAGCCTGATGTGGGACTCGATCCTGGGTCTTCAGGATCAGGCCCTGGGCTGCAGGTGCCGCTAAACCGCTATGCCACTGGGGCTGCCCCATTTCAAATACTTTAAGTGAAATGTATTATATAGACTTGTGATTAGGAAGTTAGGACATTTACCATAAATGTAATAGCTTTGAATATAGAAGAAATTATTTTTGATTAGTTACTTTTTTAAATTTTTATTTACTTATGATAGTCACAGAGAGAGAGAGAGAGAGAGAGGCGCAGAGACACAGGCAGAGGGAGAAGCAGGCTCCATGCACCGGGATCCCGACGTGGGATTCGATCCTGGGTCTCCAGGATCGCGCCCTGGGCCAAAGGCAGGCGCCAAACCGCTGCGCCACCCAGGGATCCCTTATTTTTGATTAGTATTTCTTCATAGTTGACCCGGGAGCCACCTGGATCACATAAAGACTCCTGGGCTGCATCCCACCTTGGCTGAGTCAGACTCTGCGGGGCAGGGCCCGGGATCTGTCCTGTCAGTCTCCCAGATGGCGCTAAGCACCGTGGTGGAACAGCTACCGTTCTCCAGGCCCCGATTCTTCTTTGGCACCGTGCGTGGCCGGTCTGCAGGAGCTGGCCCGTGGTGGCGGACCACGTGTAGGTGGGGCACCGTGTAGGTGCCCTGGTTCTGACAGTCGTCCACGTGCAGAGACAGGCCCAAGTTGCTGACCTGTACTCAGTGCTTGCCGTATGCCAGGGATCCTTCTAAGCACTTTATGTGTATTATTCGTTTAACTTTTGCACAACTTTATGAGGAAGGTACTACGATCTCTACCTTCCAGATGAAGAAGCGGAGGCATGGGAGGTTAAGCAGCCCCAAATCACACAGCTAGGAAGCGGCCGGGACAAGATTCAAGTCCCCAGAAACCAGAAGAAGTCCTCACTGTAAGCCAGCACTCTAGCCAATAAAATTCTTTCATAAAATCTTAGCTGCTAACTCAGGGGAGGAGTAATTATTGGGTAAATCATCATAAGCATTTTATTAAAAGGTGCATTATAGGGCAGCCCCGGTAGTGCAGTGGTTTAGCGCCGCCTGCAGCCCGGGGTGTGATCCTGAGGACCTGGGATCGAGACCCATGTCAGGCTCCCCATGTGGAGCCTGTTTCTCCCTCTGCCCGTGTTTCTGCCACTCTCTCTCTCTTTCTGTGTCTCTATGAATAAATAAATAAAATCTTTAAAAAAAAATAGGTGCGTTATAGGGCAAAAAAAGTAGAGAAACACACCTAGCTGATAGTAGTCACTAGTTTGACTATTAAAATCACCATGTGAAAATAAAATAAAATAATAAAATAAAATAAAATATAAAATAAAATAAAATAAAATAAAATCACCACCTGGCATTTGACTTCCTTTCTCCTCCTAGAAAGTCCTTTTTCCCAGCTGGTCCTCCATGTAAATCATCTTTGCTGGAGAGTAAAATCCCACCCATCACATCCTTCTTAGTCCTTCTTAACTGGCGGCTTTGGCATCGGGGAAGGGCCTAGCTCAGGCCTCGCATCTAAATCCTCTTGGATTACTTTGCTGTGGCTGCTGAGACAAAATACCACCGCCTGGGGGGTTCAACAGCAGCAGTTTATTTTTCTCACAGTTCTGAAGTTCCAAGAGTGAGGTGTCCACAGGCATGGTTTCTCCTGAAGCCTCTCCCCTCGACACGCAGATGCCACCTCCTTGCCAAGTCCTCACCCAGCTTTTCCTCTGTGCAGAGCATCCCTGGTGTCTCTCCCTCTTTTTATGAAGACACCAAGTCAGATTGGATTAGGGCTCACCTATATGGCCTTGTTAACCCTAATCACCTCCTTGAAGGCCCAGTCTCCAAATACAATCACAGTACGGGGCACTGGGGGTTAGGGCCTTAATACACAGATGTGGGGGGACTGGAGCTTACCCCTGACACCCCTCCTGAAAGAAAGACCTTGGTAATCTTAGCAGATATCAACAAAGTCTATTACTTTGTCTTTTGTTTTCTGGCCAAACAGTAAAAATGGAGTAGCGGTCTCTTCCCCATTCATATGGCCAATAAATTTAGTTCTGTGGGTCAATCTCCCTATTAGGGGCCATTCAGTTTATTTATTTATTTATTTTTTGTTTTTGTTTTTGTTTTTGGCCATTCACTTTAATAGCCAAGTCATTGGGGATCCCTGGGTGGCTCAGCAGTTTAGCACCTGCCTTCAGCCCAGGGCGCGATCCTGGAGTCTTGGGATCGAGTCCCGCGTCAGGCTCCTGGCATGGAGCCTGCTTCTCCCTCTGCCTGTGTTTCTGCCTCTCTCTCTCTCTCTCTGTGTCTATCATAAATAAATAAATAAATAAATAAATAAATAAATAAATAAATAAATAAATAAATAAATAAATCTTTAAAAAAAAAATAGCCAAGTCATTAATGATGCAGTGAACCTGGGATTAGCGCTCATCAGCCTTACTCGGGGACAGCACATTTCAAGGCATATTTCATCAGAACGGGTTTAAAGAGGTTACATTCGTCACCATCTCAAACCAAAGGTGCATTAACAGACGTGCATCGCAACGTCAGAAACAGTCTCTTTAGATTTTCGTGGTGTTTTTCATCTCCAGTTGGAGAAATGGTGAATAAATCGAAGTGGGAAAAAAAGAAAAAAAATGCTCTTAAGACTGTTCCTGGAAGCCCAAACGTCTCTACACAGACCAAACTCCATTTAATCCCTAAACATTCTGATAATTTCAGCAAACCACCAGTGTTTTAAAAATCACATTTGAATAATATCCACATATTTCGGACGTGACGCGTAGTATAATAGGAAAGACCCAGGCCTTGGGGACACACGTGGCCTCCTCGCCATGGACAGCTGTGTGGCGCCAGGTGATTTACTTACCCCTTCTGAGCCTCCCTCCTCTGTAACAGGAATATAATACGCAAGTTGCCAGGAACTAGTGACGATCAAATGAGAGATTTCGGGAAAAGAACGACCCACAACAAGCTTCCTTTGCAGGCCGGTCTGACTGCCTGGGTCTTACTGAAGACCTGGCTCCCGGGGGACGGCCTGGCCGGGTTGGGGGGCCTCGGGGTCCATGGGGATCCCAGGCCGGGCGCAGCTGCTCTGTGCCGAGCCTGGCGGTGCCACGAGCCGGCCTGCTTCGCGGTCGCGGCCACAGCGGCCACACAATGAGGGCCCTCGACGGACAGGACTGCCCGCCTGAATGAGCAAGAAGGTCAAAGCATTTCCGTCGACATCGTTTCCTCCTGTGGGTAATCCACGGCGTCTGCAGCTTTGCGCCGTTCGAGGACTCCCTCCACCCCCACCCACGTGCTGAACCCAGGTTTTCATCCTCTGATGATGGACAATTTGGAGCTGCCGTGTGGCGGCCGAGTCCGACGGTCCCGGCCACGGGGAAGGAGGCCAGGCTTCACGGGTCGCCTGGGTGTCCTACGGGGAGGCGGCCGGTGGCCTCTCAAGGTGGCGCCAATGCCCGAGGGTCTCTAGTGGGCCAGCCAGGGGCCGGCCGTGGCTTCATGTGGCACACACCGCAGTCACAGAGCAGTCGTGACTTCGCTCCCCCTCCATGGTACTGGCCTGAGGACAGGTGGCCGCCCAGCAGGAGTGCAGGGACAGGCCTGGGCCCACATGGACTCTGCTGGGGGCTCAGCCGGCCCAGCTGGAGCACCAGCCAGGGCTAACGTGCAACCTGCTAACAGTAGCCTCACGGGTGCCACCTGGCTCTTTCACCTGCCCACCTGATCACCTAGGCGGGGGACTATGTCAGAAGCACTGGTGGCTGTTTAAATACTGCCTTTTAACTCACTTGGAACTAAGTTATCTTTCCAGTGGATGAGCCTTGTTCAGCTTTCAGGTATTTGATTGTCAAACATTTCTCAGAATCCATTAAGAGGTGCAGGATGGGGACCCCCGGGGGCTCAGCGGCTGAGCGTCTCCTTCTGCCCAGGGCGTGACCCGGGGTCCTGGGATCGAGGCCCGCGTTGGGCTCCCTCATGGAGCCTGCTTCTCCCTAGGCCTGGGTCCCTGTGTGTGTGTGTGTGTGTGTGTGTGTGTGTCTCATGAATAAATAGATAAATCTTAAAAAAAAAAAAAGACCCTACTATGCAGCAGTGAGAATGGACGAATTGCTGTAGGCGACAATGTGGCCACATGTCACAGAAACAGGCTGTTGAGGGAAAGACGTCAGCCACAGACCCATGTAGCGGGCAATTTACTTGAAGTCTGAGAACAGGCGATGCTGACTTGGGATGTCA